AAAAAAAAAAAAAAAAAAAAAACTCTGTTACCTAAAGACTTTGGCAGCAGGTTTTTGATGAACTCGTTATGATCTCCAACATGAAGAATGTTATATACACTGGTATTCATTAGCTCTTCTTGGTTGTACCGGAGATACTGAGTCACATTCTCAGAGACAAACACGACGTTCCCTTCACGGTTCACCACAAAGAAGAACCCATCCAGGGCCTGGAGAAAGAGAAAAATGTACAGCACATTATAGAAAGTGGCATTTAACCCCACACGAGACAAGATCACCAGCACAGCAACAAATATGTAAACTATTTAGACTGTTTCGTTTCAGTCTCACCTCACGTTCTACAAGTATGAAAAAAAAAAAAAAAAAGTAGGTCTTTTTATTGTCCACCAGTACAACGTACATCATGGGACCAAGTGCAGCCCAGGAGAGGAGGAGACATCTTGCCGGTACCAGTTTCCTGGTTGACAGCTTGGCCTAAGCTTTAGGTGCACCAATGCAACAGGCTGATTCACTGATCAACAGCAAAGCAACAGAAAACAAGGTCAGGCTTCTGATTAGATCATGTAGTAGAAAAATGGATGCCAAGCCACTAAATTTGGGGTATCCAGCATGCTCTATGTAAAATACTTGGTGTAGGCACCTGGAGTGCGTTTTATACTAGACATGCTCAAATTTTAACACTTCTGGCCTTGCAGGTTTACTGTAAGGTAAATCTTAACATCAGGGTGGACACATTAATATGGAATTCAGGAGCCAGCAGGGTATTTTTTTTAGCCATATCCATAGTAAACAACTAGAAAAACCTAAATCATTAGGTGCCAGCTGTCATTTTTAGGAAGCATTGAATACCTGGCTGGTGGGATTTACCCAGCACTTTCTTTATGTGTTTATTAAAACAGAATATTTGCAAACAAAGTTGCCAGTGTAGATGGGGAAAACGCATTTGCTTACCAAATACGGATATTGCTTTCTGCTTCATAGTGGAGCACAGTGATTGCACTTCGTAGCTCTTAACGTATAATGAATGTATGGATAAGCTCTGACTTAATGAAAATAATACACTGCTTATGTACCTTACTCTGTCATTTTAGCTAGGCAGCTGTACTGGTACCATGCCAATGAAATGATCAGGAAAAACATACAAACATAAAAATCTGGAGCAAAGCATGTAAAAAGTGTAAACTTAGAAGAAAAACCACAGTGTGAAAATACAGTATAGTTCCCCTTTATGAGTTCATGTAAGAATCAACATGCATATAGTCATTCACCTTTGGACATAAATCTGCTGCACAACACAGTGCATGTCTTGTGTTAACCGACTAGCCATTCCTTACAATGCAATGCCATCTCCAAGAAGTAGCTTACATGAACTGATGAGTAACATTCAGCACATGAACTTTTGCATGAATTAAAAACAAAAAAAAAGGTGCAAATACCCAGTTTGCTTGCATATTTACTGGCAATTTGTATTCTTATAGGGTTCTCCTTTACAGTAAATATCTGCTATCCATCACCTCCATTTATACTTCAAGCAATGGATATAGGTATATGAATGAAGCATATTGTGGAATGAGTCTACAAAAAAATAATTAGTTTCCAGACCAAACGTAATGCATGAATTATGTGCTGGGATGCACAAGTGGGTTTAATTTCATGATTCATCTGTTTATCTATCTACACTTGCTTCAAAACACATGGAGTGAATACATTATATTCAGAACTTTACTCATCGCCCACAAAGAAAAAACAGACGACCAAGAATTCCCGCGGGGACTGACTGGAGGCCCAGGAAGAGATATTGTTCTAGAGCAGAAACATCCAAGTATATATGCATCTATCAGCTCTGGGAGAAACCATGCTGGACAGGGGCTTTTTACATTATTGTCAATTGATTTAAACAAAAATGATAACTGAAAAGATGCAACTGGTCAGGATGGACAGGGCTAGCAGTCTAACACAGGGGCCGTGTGTGCTGGGCAGTACTGCAGTTCCTTAAATTGACACTAAACTCAGGAGTTAAATAAAACGCTGCACAAACTGTTGGCGATATATAAATCCTGATCAATAATATAATAATAATAATAATAATAATAAGTCTTAAAAATGCATTCAAGTACCTTAACGAATAACAAAAATGTATCTTATTGTATCACTCAGCAGTAGATCCTCAAGCCATCTCTGAATTGAAACCGTCCTACCTTCTGGAGGGGGGGCTACTTTTGTTCCCTATGGTCCCTGTGTGTGTTGTAAAGTAGCCACCGCTCCAAGCTCATTCCCATGACGGACTACAATCTCAATACACATTAGTAAACTAAACATGAGCTTGGAGTGGTGGCTACTTTACAACACACACAGGAACCATGGGGAACAAAAGTAGCCACCCTCCAGAAGGAAGGACAGTGTCAGCGTCAATTCAGAGATGATGGGAGGATATACAGCAGAATGATACATTTTTGATAATAGTTCAGGCACTTGAATGCATTTTTTAAGATTTAACTCCTGCTAGTGTCACTTTAAATCAACTTGCAAAGTGTGTCCAGGACCTGGCAGGTCCTGCCAGGGACAGAACAACGACTGAACAAAATCAGAAATCTCGTGTGTTTTTACTCATTTGCCTGTTCAAATTTAACAAGTGCATAACAATGCAAGAAAAGGAGAACAGCCTCTGACATTTCACTCTTGACTACAGTGAACAACGAAGCCTGAAAAACATCCCCAGTTATTAACTCAATCCAGTCGTTTTATTGGTTTTGTCAGAAGGCAGAACAAATGTACTGAAAGCATATAATTCCACTTTAACTTGGGCAGGTAGAAGAGCTTCTAATGAATTGGTAAGAAATCCACACTAAGCACAGATAAGTGTTCTTCATCTCTGCTCAGTCATGTGATGTTTACTTCGCTGCCAGAAATTGCAGTTCATGCCTGGTTGCCTGGCAACTGCTATATACTTGTGTTCTGACAAGCCGAAGTGCAGACATTTCAAGGAACAATTAAAAAAAGCAGATGCTTCCTTATTGAAGTGCTTCTGACATGCAGCAAGACCCTACAGGCTGCCGGAGTGGCACAATGGTTCAGGAGATAACCGCGCTTAAAGTCAGGCCGAGCGGTCAATAAAAGCGTCTGATATGAAGTGCACAGGAAATGGGGAGTACATTGTAAATCGCGGCACCGTATGACTGAGCTCGGGAACGATTCATTCCTATGACGAATGCTGCAGGGAATTTACACGTTATCTCTATATAACTTGTTTATTGGTATGTTTGTCTCAGTGCAGAATGGCAGCAGAAGCTTTATATGCATGAAGCATCCAAGGTGTGCATCTGACAAACAGAAAACAACACAAACGCCTCATTTATAGACCGTAGAGTAAACAAGGGTGTACAGCTTTCTTCTGTGCTGTAAATATGATCCATGTAAAGATGCTTAGAAAAAGTAAATGAAAACCCCAATTTCTCTTATTTCCTCCCTTTTGGTCTCTTTACAACATACCAGTGAAAACATTTTGGTATAACCGTTCAAGAACTGCAAAGAAACAAAAAAAGAAAAAAGTTGGACTTGTCAGAAATTCAGAGCAGTCTTGTGCTCACTTCCTGTGTTATCTCAGATTGCCTATTAGCTCTCCCAATTCTCATCTTGGGACTACAGAACGATCAGCCTGTGTGTTGTAGAGATGGTAAAATAGGCAGATCTGAGTAGTTTGGCAAGAGAAAGCGGGACAGGGCGGACACCACTCTGTCCCACAAACATGCTGTGTGTTGTCAGCCCACAACAGGACCTAAGTGTGCATTTCTGGCAGATCAGCTGGTATTGTTTCTACTTTCAGGGTATTTAAAGGGATAAAATATGGGAAAATTAAGATGTATTGCAGAAATGTACTGCATGTGGTTTTTTTTTAAATTTATTTTGCCCTGACATGTACTTTAGTGTTTTATTCTACTTTTTAGAGATCCCTATAAATGAAGCGTGACTCTTTGTACTCTCCCTGTGAAAACAAAGGGAACTAAAACTTGCAAGTTTAAAAAAGGTCACATTTATATGAAGTAAGCATTCTTTCTTTTGTCACAAAATACATCTCCTCTGGAATGGAATTTTTCCTTTTAACCACTTGATGTCCACACGACAGTTATAAAGGTCATGGACTTCAAGTGGTTAAAACAAGCTCATGGCTGCAGTTTAATAGACCCTGATGGCTCCACAAAGAAAACCTCTCAGCTTGACACCTTGTGTGATAATGGGGCTTGCAAGCCCCCATGTGATAGCAGCAGCACTTGTTAGCATCCTGTGTAATGGGGGGCTTGTTAGCAAAAACGTTAAGTTAAAAAAAAGTGTTAAATAATAAAAAATCCCCCTCCCCCCAAAAAACAAAAATTGTGTGTGTGCATGCACAAATACAAATGCACGTGCAGGGAGCACGAGTATGTAAACAACTGTACCGCACATGTTAGGCATTGCAGCGATCAAAGTGAAAGAAATAATTCCAGTGCCATCATAATTTTCTAGCATAATTCAGGTTTCAACGTGTGGGTAAAAACAAAAAAAAATAATTCCATATACAAAGTGGTTAAATATGAAATAGAAAATGCACATCAGTGATTGAGCCTGGTAAAAATGGAAAAGTGGTACTACAAGCAGATAGAGGAGAGAAACCTTTATTTCACATACATGACCTACAATTCCCAATGGCTTCCTGCAGCCAAATAAAATGCCAAAAGCAGATGTATTGAAGGGCTTAGTACCCAACCCTAAAAACTGATGGCCCTTTCCTTGTGTGATCACCAACAGAAACCCCATACCCTCCCTCGTCTTGCTCTTAGTTATTGCGCAGTCTTGCGGCAAGTGTTCCCTACTACAGACAAAACACACTCAAATGTATATAATAAATTGTGGTTATATGCATCGGGTTTAGACATTGGCAATTAAATGCAAGAAAAACTAATTTTAAAGAAGAACTCTGAGGAAATGTTTTTTTTTAAATTAATCCTTGCAGTGGGGCACTGCAAGGCTTAATTGCTCATTTGTGTCTAGGTGCCAACCCCCCCCCCCCCAAAAACAAACACTGAACTGTCAAGCAGACTCCCTGCTTCTCCAGTCACTGAAGCTCGTCTCCTCCTCTTCTGCACAGATGTAATGTTCCTCAGCATCCTCACCATTTATACACTTGTATATAGACTGAGATGACACAAGGATTCTTAGAGCGAAGAGGATGTAGGGACCGGTCTAAGAGCAAGTTGGCTCAAATTATTTTTTTAGCACCTAGACACACACTAACAATTAACCCTTCCAGTACGGGGGTAGCCCTACTGCAAGTGTTAACACAATCCCCTCCCCCCCCCCCCCCCCCCACGAGTCTTTTTTTGTGTCTTTCT